AATAGCATCGAGAAGATATTTGATACAGACACACTAGGTAGAGATGGACGCTACAAATACCCATTGATTCAGATTTCAGGGAAGAGTCATGGAGTTCAGTCCATCTCTGGCTGGGCTGACACTACAGATAACCCCCAGAGCACATCCATCTCCAACTGCCAGCTCAAGACAAATTACCTTCTCTCCAGGATTCTCTCTCTTTCACTGATTACCTAGGACTCAAATTGAAAGCTATCTGACTTCTGAGAGGGCTTTTGTTTGTTACATTCCTCTGGATTATGCAAAAATAATTGGGGAGTGGGAAGGGGAAAGATTCTGGTGTGTGTTTGAAGTCTTACAAACACAATGGACTGATCTTGCCTGCCCAATTTAGTTAAAACTGGCCAGTCCTTGGGCTAATTTAATTGTTTCCCCACAGTTAGTACTGTAAACTGTATTCTATTAATGCAAATAGGGTGTGGGAGGGGGGTTACAGATAAAATGCAGAATTCTTAATCTGAAGAAGTGTGCATGCATACAAAAGCTCATACCAATAACAAACTTAGTTGGTCTCTAAGGTGCTACTGGAAAGAATTCTGAATAATATCTTGGGGCAAAACAACACTGTGGCAGTTGTAGGAAAATATGTTATTTATATGGAGTCTGAAACTGAACAGTAAACCAGAAGAATGTGATTTCATATCTTTGAAACTCCCCCCCCTTTTAAAAATGTAACTTTTTAATGCAACAGCACACATCTCTCTGTTTATATTGTAAAAATTAAATGCAGGTATTTAGACCCTGACAGAAAAATAATTTATAACACAAGTCTATACATATCTACTCAGATGTAAGTTCCGCTGAGTGCAATGGGAATTACTTTCAAGTAAATGGGTATAGAATTGCAGCCTTAATCTGATGTTTACGTTCCATTGTAAAATAATGGTTTATGCGTGTATTCAAGATTTACTCATGATCAAAGAAACACAACCCATTAATGGCTCAGTCAGTGAGCTTGTACTTAAGGGCATTATGCTGTTGTGCTTACTTCCAGTACAAATTTCCCTGCAATTTATCTAAATCCTTCAAGATGAATTGCAGATAAAATGATCCTTCAGATTATCAGGAAACAAGAATACTACCCTCGGTAGTTCCTGTCAGCTGTATGTAAGAGTTAGAAAGTGTTGCAAGCTAGTTCCGTCGAAACAGTGTGATTCTTCCGGTAGACGGACGTTGGAAAGAATCTGGCATGTAATATCAATTTTCTCCAGGACAAAAATGTCAAGATGTTGCTGGGTGTTCATATACGCTCCTTTTAGCCATGGAGACGATATGCAAAACAACAACCAGCAGCAAAGAAAGCATGCATCTACGCCATTTATGGGATTAAACCTCTGAGTTAATCACTAAGCAAGTGATCCTGATGAAGCCCAGTAATAACGGCCATCTCATGAGTGCCTCTGTCCAGGACAGCACGCCATAGATGGGCATCATGGCGGAAAGGGTCAAAGGCAAACACAGCACAGAAATGGGCAACAGCAGAGCATGGGAGGAGACCTGTCCAATGGGCAGATCTCAGGATTGTGTATAAACATTCTGTTCAGTTAGCCATGACACCCACCCAGAGTTCCACCTTCCAGGTTCTTTGTACTGATGATCTGGCAGGCTCTGATCATTCTTTTCAGAGTCTGGTATGTCCACCTTTACAATGCATGAGCAGAACATTTCCTGTTGAGTGAGTGCACAATGACACCACAGGAAGGAAAGAACATGCTAAGTCAACCCACATGCATCATAATTAATAGTAAATTGTTGCAACCAAATATTGTAGCCAGGCTATTATTATTTAAAAAACTAATACTTCTGCAAAATTCAGGATTCTCTGAGCATGCTGATTCCTCCCTCTTGTTTCTCAATGGCCCTGATCTCATTAGAATCATGGAGCTGGAAGGACTAAGGAGGGTCATCAAGCGCAGCCCCCTGCAATGCAGGATTCTTTTGCCCAATGTGAGGCTCAAACACACCAGCCTGAGATGTGCACACCAGGCTCGTTCTCTCCCAGCTGAGCTATCCCAGCTTCCATTCCTGTTGGCACTCACCACCGGAGTTTGCTCTTAAAGGGAGTGATAATGGGATTGCAAAAGATGTACAGCATATCAGAGTAGACCTGTCTTACTCCCGTTGTACAAAATGCCACGACAGCTGTGTCAGACATATTTTAAGGATCAAGCTGTACACCAATTTAAAACCCAAGAATTCTGCTTTAATTCATTGGTGGATCGGCCTGTAGTTGGGTTTGCAGCTCCTCCACCCCCATCCTGATCACATGAAGCATTTCATTCTATTTTTGAGTGCTGCCTTAGCAAAACAAGTTTTTCACCTGTTTTGGGGTGCTAATTTTGCAAATGCACTCACATGCATTCAGAGCACATCTATTGACAACAATCCGATAAACCTCCAGGGGTGAACGTTTTTCTTCCTGGTCTAAAATGAAAGGCCTAGAGAGGTTGTTTTACAGAGGCACCAAAAATGAATTTTTGCTAGCAAGACCAACAAAGATACATTTAAAAGGGGGGGGGGAGTATTTACATGCAAGCAGTGCTCTAGCTTTTATGCAGACTAAAATCATAAATAAATAAATCCACAATAACAAATCTAGAGGGAGAGAGTGAATGAGCCCAGGAATTGACTTGAAAACAGGTGTTGGTCTTCAGTAACAGCCTAAGTGGAAATTTGTTTGGGGGAGTTCATCTGGGACAAACACTTTGTTCCTCCCATGCTGCAGAGTTAAAAGAAAGGAAGTATTTGACATTCCAAAGCTGGCAGGGTTAATCAGTAATGTACCTGATTAATCTCTCAGGACTCCGCTCCATAACAAAGCTTCTATTCTGCTATTGTTCAGATCTCCAGAATGGGTCAGTAGAAAATGGAAGGAAAGGCATTTGGGCTTGACTAAAGGGTGCTACAGTGCGGAGAACCTGATCAGGGTGATAATACAGGAGTGGTGAAATATGGTGCAGGGAGTCCTACTTATCATGATGATCCTTCATTTAATGCGGAAATGGCCTTTGCTCAGATTGGGATGCTCTGGATACATGGGATACAATGGTCACCTTGTTATTAAAGATTAAGAGCAAATGAACTATCACTCAGCCATGAAACAAGCTAAGGGTCATCCTTAACGGTGGTGACAAATTCCACAAGGGCAGCAGCCTGTAGCCGATGCAGAGGAGACAAAAGTAAGTGCTTTCTTATGGCGTGTCCTTTCATTGTGGCAACAGCTCTTGGCACTGTAAATCAGCTGGGCTCAAACAGCCCATTTGCATTTTATTTTTTTAAAAACGGGTCCACGGTTAAAGAGTTGATGTGAAGAGGAAAGACAAAGGGCCCTTTGGCACCCAGCACATCATAATCGCCGCCACCACCATAAAAAGCATATGTATGCATGAAACTGGTCTGTATAAAATGTAACTTGAAAAAAGAGACATTGCGCATACTTTTGTAAACCAAGAAATATTTAATAAAAATATATTTTAAAAATATTTATACACCGCTTAATATGCAGAATCCCTAAGCAGTTGACATAAAACTCAGTAAGATCATCAATAAAAATGAAAATGTATATACAACATTTAAAACAAAAAATACAAAGAAATACATCTGTAAAAACTATCAATAAAGCTTCCAGTTAAATATCAACAAATGCCATGGCAGACACACCTGCAGTATTTAATTTAGAAATATAGAGCCCACTTTTCTTTATATAATAAGCTCAGAATTTTTTGAATGACAGCTGCATCCCATCCCCCTCACCAAGTCCGCATCATTTCCTGCTGCTCCTTTCACTTCCACCTACTTTTTGCCTACTGCATTTTAGGTTCCCGCTCCAACTATTATCCTCAGGAATCTGGTGTTAGACAACACGCCCTTTGGCTTGGGCTTCAGGAGTGACTCATGTCTGGCCCTGGCCTGGCTAACCGTCCACAGAGATGGTCAGGAACACTAGCCCTAGGGTTGCCTGTTTGAAAACTGCTCCCAGAATCAGAGACCTTGGGGCTTTGTGCTCATCGCATCACATATGACAGTCAGAACCACAAGACTTCTCATTTTTGTCATGCAGTCTTCATCTGGGTGCAGTTTGGATGCTGCTTGAGCAACTGAAGAGACTCTGGGAAGTCAGGATGCTGAAATGATTACGAATTAGTGGATTAATTCATTAATGTCAATTATCCATACAGGCCATACACCCGCATTTACTCTGCTTCCAGTATGCTCCCACCCACCGCTGGTTTGGGAAGTGCTGTATCCTGCCTCTATCCTGCCATTTCTTGTGATCCATTTCCCCTCAAACCAGCTGAATTGAGGAAAAGAATGACCTAGCAGCGTTTTCAGCTGCCAATGGGTACACAGCTTATGTTCATATACATAATGAAATGCTAAAAGAGTTGAAATCAAATATGTAGCTTTGAATCTCTTCATAGTCTTAAAAAACAAAACCACCTTTAAAAACTTGATCAACCAAACATTCAAGGAGATTCCCTTGATAATTGTTGTGTATTGAGTCAAAGGATTTTATATCTGTATTATTATTGTCTGTATTTGCATTAGGGTAAAGTAACTGCCTTTTGGTTCCAGAGGGTACAGCTACTATTGGTTCATTTAAGCTGCTGTATTTGGATCCTCTGTCTTATTGGTTCCCTCCAAAAGGCAGGACTGTGATTGCCTGATATTGTTCCCTCCAAAATGTATCCTTTCTTGCTAGTTCCCTGTCCCTATAAATGTAGCTTTCCTCTCCCCAGTCTAGAGTCTTGTTGCTTTAATAAAGAAGTGTTACTAGAGACTGTCTCCAGCATGTTATATCAGGAGAGCTGAAATCACAAACCCCACGTCACAACAACTGGCGACGAAGGTGGGATCCGGAATGCTGAGGAGCGGTTAAACGCAGCCCTGCCTCAGAGTCCGGATTGCAGCTAAGAACAAGACTCACTGGCCAGCTGAGAAGACGACCCTGCCACAGGACAATGGAGAGTCCAAGGGTATTGGAGCCCTTCCAGCCATCAGAGCCCGACACGTGGGAAGACTACGTCGAGCGCTTCGAGTTCTTCGCAGAGGCTCAAGGGATCACCGATGCCAGCAAAAGAAGGGCCACATTCCTGAGCTACTGTGGGCCTAAGACCTTCAAGCTGGCCAAGGCATTGCTTGCTCCAGCGAAGCTAAGTGAGACATCTCTCAAAGATATTCTTGCCTGCCTAACAAGCCACTTGGCGCCTACTGAGACCAAGATGGCTCGGCGGATGGAGTTTCATAAGAGGCAGCAGCATGCTGGGGAGTCTGTATCTGCATTTCTGGCTGAACTGCGGAAGCTCGCTCAGCACTGCGACTTCCAAAATCTGGAAGAGACTCTCCTGGATCGGTTTATCGGTGGTCTGAGCAGCAAGAAGGCCAGAAGACGCATCGTGGCTAAAGAAGAGGTTACCCTTGCTTCAGCCTTGAAGGAGGCCACCGCCACGGAGAATTATGAAAGAGAGGAGCTTGATGCCAGTCGCAAGGCCCCTAAGCCACAGATAGAAGTTGCGCATGCCATGGACGAGCTAGAGGCTACTCCGAGCCAGAGCCCAGTCCGTGGGGTCGAGTCAGTGAGTCAGGCCTGCACAGTGCACAAAGATCACCGAGGCAGGTGCCCAGGTTGTGGCGGAAACCATGAGCGGAAGAGTTGTCGTTTCCGGGATGCTATGTGCCGGACGTGCGGGAAGACAGGTCACATCGCCAGGGTCTGTAGATCGGCGGCGTTGGGAGCGACAGGAGCACCTAGACCGGAGCATCGCAGACCGCCCGCAGCAACCCATTTTCTAAAGGACTGCCACTACGTTACGGAGATCAACGGGAGGGTCGTGCAGTTCCCAGCACAAGGCAAGGCACACGTCAAGGTGAAGATTGAGGGTCAGCAGTGCGACATGGAGGTGGACTCCGGATCTGGATTCACTATCGTGTCGGACCAGACCGCGAGGACATTCTTCCCCAGGGGTAAGTTGCCCCAGCTGGAACCCTTCCCGGCACCCGTGCAGTCATACTCAGCGGGCCGCATCCATGTTATGGGAATGTGTGCCGTGAGAGTACAGTTCCGGGACAAACAGGCTGTACTCAAACTGGTGATTGCGAAGGGCAGTCGCCCCAGTCTCCTGGGCACTGACTGGTTCTCCGCCCTGGGACTGAGTATATCAGGGCTTAATTCAATCCAAACCTGCCCTGAGATGAGCGAGGCATTATGCAAAGAATTTGCTGGTCTCTTTAATGGAAAACTGGGTTGTTATAAAGGGCCCCCAGTTGACTTCGAGTTGGACCCTGGGGTGGCCCCAATCCAACTCAAACCAAGGCGAGTGCCATTTGCACTGCAACCCAAGATCGAAGCAGAGCTGGATAAATTGGTCAAGCAGGGAGTTCTCTCACCCGTGGACTCTGCTAAGTGGGAGACTCCAATCGTCACGCCCCTTAAAGCAAATGGGGAAGTCAGGATCTGTGCAGATTACAAATGTACTATCAATAAGGCACTCAGGGGAAACTCATACCCCATTCCAGTCGTATCACATCTGTTGGCTAAACTGGCTGGGGGCAAGGTGTTCGCCAAAATTGACCTGGCACAAGCTTACCAACAGCTGCCAGTAACCCCACAATCAGCGGAAGCACAGACTATTGTCACACATAAAGGGGCGTTCAGAGTTAACAGATTACAATTTGGAGTTTGTGTGGCCCCAGGGATTTTTCAAGGGCTCATGGAACACCTGTTAAGAGGTCTGCCGGGGGTCTTGCCATTTTTTGATGACGTTCTGATTGCTGGAAAAGACCCACAGGAACTGGTTGCGCGTGTTCGTGCAGTGTTGCTCAAGTTCAAGGAGGTGGGGTTGCAACTGAAAAAGGAAAAATGCAGTTTTGGGGTGCCAACTGTGGATTTCTTGGGGTTTAAAATTGATGCATCAGGCATCCACCCCACAGATGCTAAGATTAAGGCCATCATCGAGGCGCCACGACCACAGAACAAGACGGAGTTGCAGTCATTCCTGGGACTTATTAACTTTTATCATTCGTTCTTACCCCAGAAAGCTTCGGTAGCTGAACCATTACATAGACTGTTGCAGAAAAAGACTGTGTGGCGATGGGGGCAGGGGCAGCAGAAGGCTTTTGACTCCTTGCGAGGAATGCTGAGTAGCAGGAGTGTCCTTGCTCATTATGACGAGTCAAAGCCTCTGGTCCTGGCATGTGATGCCTCTCAATAAGGCCTGGGGGCGGTGCTAAGTCATAGGGAACCGGATGGGTCGGAAAAGCCCATCTCTTTCTATTCCCGTACGTTGTCGCCCACGGAGCGCAACTATGCTCAAATTGACAAAGAGGCGCTTGCAATTGTGGCAGGAATCAAAAAGTTCCCTGATTATGTGTACGGTCGCCATTTCTACATTGAAACGGACCACAAGCCACTGTTAGGGTTGTTCAACCCGAACAAACAAACGCCACAAATTCTCTCCCCCAGAATGTTACGTTGGTCTATATTCCTGAACGGGTTCCAGTACACCTTGACCCATGTGCCGGGAAACGGTTGTGCCACGCGGATGCGCTGAGTCGATTGCCCCTTCCTGGCGGGAGCACTGAGGATCCTGCTCCAGCGGAGCACATAATGATGCTGGAAACACTCCCGGGGGCTCCTGTAACGGCTACTGATATAGCTGAGAAAACGAGGAAAGATGCTGTTCTCTCCCGTGTGCTCACTTGGGTGGGGAGGGGGTGGCCAGGTGGTCCGCATGAAGACAAATTCAGGCCTTATGCGACTAGGCAGCACGAGTTGTCCATGCATAAGGGTTGTCTCCTGTGGGGAGATAGGGTGATCATCCCAGCACCACTGAGAAACAGGGTTCTTGAGACGCTTCACATGGGACACCCGGGAATGGTCAGGATGAAGTCGTTAGCCCGATGTTATGTGTGGTGGCCTGGAATGGACCAGAACATAGAACAATGGGTACGAACATGCAAGGCATGCCAAGAGGTGCGGCCAGAAGTGGCCAGAGCACCAGTCCACTGGTGGGAGCAGTCCAGATCTCCCTGGAGCCGGCTGCACTTAGATTTTGCTGGGCCATTCCAAGGAAAGGTCTTTTTGGTTATCGTTGATGCATATTCCAAATGGTTAGAAGTGGCGATGGTCCCTAGCATGGCATCAGCTGCCGTCATCAAGGTGTTGAGGCAGCTGTTTGCAACCCACGGGTTACCTGAAACCATTGTATCAGATAATGGGGCAGCTTTTGTATCCCAAGAATTCAGGGCATTCTTGGCTGATAACTTCATAAGAGGGGTCACATCCGCGCCCTTTCACCCATCCTCCAATGGGCAGGCTGAGCGCATGGTAAGAACAGCCAAAGAATCCATTGCGCGCTTAATGGAGGGTAACTGGTCAGCTCGCATCGCGCGAATGTTATTTTTGCAGCATGCGACGCCGTGTACCGCAACGGGCAAGTCGCCAGCTGAGCTGCTCTTGGGTAGGAGACTGGTAACGGTGCTGGATTATGTCAACCCGGATAAAATGCCAAACCATAATTCAAGAGCAACCCCCCAGGCTGAGACTGACACAACAAGGTATCTCGCCCCTGAAGATCTGGTCTGGGTGAGGAACTATTCACGAGGTTCGCGGTGGGTGGCTGGTGTGGTCACCCGGGCTAGTGGACCTGTGTCCTATTATGTGACCTTGGAAAATGGGCAAGTGTGGAAGAGACATATAGATCAGCTGAGGCGCCGGGCGCTCAGCAGGGAGGAGCCAGATAATTCATCCCTGGCTAACGACGCAGAGCTGCAAGACCAGAGTGAAAATGGCCCAGAGGTGCAATCACCAGGGGCTTTAACAAATGAACCAGGGTCTGCTAGTCCTCACGATGACGAGGTACAGATAGGGGACCCTGAGATGTCGGGGACTCCATCTGTTCCTGACGAAACCCCTAGAGCAGCCCCTCTACCACAGGTAACACCCAATCCAGAACCTGCAACACCTGTTGTCAGGAGATCAAGTAGAAGTTGTAGGCCCCCACAGTACCTGAGAGATTACGTCTGCTGTGCTCACTAGGGGGGAAGGGGTGTTGTGTATTGAGTCAAAGGATTTTATATCTGTATTATTATTGTCTGTATTTGCATTAGGGTAAAGTAACTGCCTTTTTGGTTCCAGAGGGTACAGCTACTATTGGTTCATTTAAGCTGCTGTATTTGGATCCTCTGTCTTATTGGTTCCCTCCAAAAGGCAGGACTGTGATTGCCTGATATTGTTCCCTCCAAAATGTATCCTTTCTTGCTAGTTCCCTGTCCCTATAAATGTAGCTTTCCTCTCCCCAGTCTAGAGTCTTGTTGCTTTAATAAAGAAGTGTTACTAGAGACTGTCTCCAGCATGTTATATCAGGAGAGCTGAAATCACAAACCCCACGTCACAACAATAATATCCAAAAAGAAAGTTATAATTTCTTCTGTGGTGGGTTGGGGAACGAGTAGGCAGGAGAACAATCTCTGATTATTGTCCCCCCCCCCCAGGTCCCCCCCCAGCAGGATCCTTATTACCTTGAAATCTGCATGGAGCAGTGAATGAAACAACCCACACATGCTGGGACTTCAGATTACTCAGCAGGAATAACCGATAGAACAGTATGGTATTTCCTTTTTCCTGAAGGGTTAGAAAGGCTTATATAAGCCATGAAAGAACAAAATGGAAGCATGTTTTCATGCCATGATACAAAAAATGCATTCATATGAATACATGTGGCTATTTCCCAACCTGTTGAGAAAGACACCAGGGTTAAGTCTTCACAATCAATGAACCTAATAATAATAATAATAATAATAATAATAATAGGAAGCTGCCCTCTACTATCTAGTTTAGTATTGTCAACTTTGACTGGCAGCACTTTCCAGGGGTTCAAGCAGGAGTCTCTCCCAGTCCTACCTGGGACTTAGGGTGATATTCATTGTTAGTCTTATTTGCAGCAGACCCATTGACGTTATTTTATTTTATTTTATTTTATTTTGCAATATTTATATACTAATAAAACCTCAAAGTTTAATAGACATGACTAACTGAGGTTCATTAATTCTAATGAGTCTTCTACTCTGTGTAGGACTTTGTCTTGGCACTCTAAAATGCAAGGATTCCTAATTTAATTGAGCTGTAGATCACACTGAGTGCTGACACATAATATTTCAAGATCTCTTGTAGTCAACGCACAAAACCAGTTACAGTGGGAGCCTTCCTCACTGCAAAACTTGCAAATTCAGAAAGCGAGCATCCCCTGGGAAACTAGGTGGGTGTTCAACGAGTATGTCTGGTTTTGGTCCATGGATATCATTTTATGTTTTAGCCTTTGGGATGGGTGGGGATGAAATCCAAGTCATGATTTGACAAAAGTCAGGTGTTTTTGCTTTATCAGCTTGCATATGCTTGATGATGGCTGTTTTGATTTGTCCAGAATGGAGCTCACACACAGTATGTATTTTATAAAGGAGAGAGAGAGAGAATTAAGCACAGAAGAAATACTTTCCTTTTCTGTGAGTCCTCGGAAAACACCCAAATTACAGAACTTTTGGTTTTAGAGATTCTTGATTGACTCCCTAACCTTTTGCCTTCTCCAGGTATTTCCCAACACCTTGTAACGATTAGGCTAGCAAAGCAAAAAGTTTAAAGGACAACAATTTAATCCTTTCCAGTGTATGTATCCGTCTCATTAAAGCATTCTCCTGGAGCAGTGTAATGATGCATCAAATGGAATCTATTTCAAGGTAAAATGAGTGCTGCTGATGTCTAACACACTGTTCCTGAGGCCTGACTTTGGCTCCAGACCTTGTGCAGCCTAGCACTGGAATAGATTAAATATCAACCCGGGTCACGTTCTCATGGCCCAGGCACAAGTGCCAACATTCTTCCAATTATTCAAGGCCAAAAAGAGAGCAACCTGCCTTGACAGAATTGTGACACAGCTTGATTAGATTTAGCTTAGATGCCTGCCGAAAAGGATACCCTGGTATTTAACTCAGATGGGGACAGGAATGGTTATATCTGTTCAAAAAGAATGAAGGCGAGGGGTGGGGGTGGGGAGACAGAATGCAGCAAGAGTCTCTTCAAAAGGGATGGAGGAGCGGGGAGAATACAGCTGTGTGTGTGTCTAAGTGTGTGTGTGAAATCTAAAATCACCCCACTTTTGCGATTGGCATATTTCAGTTGTTATGTAAGCACAGGATGCCTTGACTTAAAGGCATGTTTGAGTTCTTTAAACACTGTCAGCATCATTCACTCCAAATGACTTTTGAAGTGCAAACTCAACGGAAAAATGCACCAGCTGCAATCAATTCACACATTATGCTTTCCAGGTATGGGTGCACTAGACTTTCTCAACACTGAATAACGGAATGTGTGAATGGGTTTTGCACGCAACCCGCTTTCTCCCTCACCTAGTGCACTATCTGGTTTTGAAAGTCCCACTTGAAGAATGCAAATATGTATGGAAGAAAACCGTGTGCATTAGCACATTTCATTCTCATGGATTAGCAGTAATCCAGTGGGCAGGCCAAGCAATCCAATGTGAGAGTGAAACTGTGGACTACTTTGCACAGGGGAATTCCCCCATGCCTGCAGTTTCTGAACAGTTATAGAATCATGGAAATGTAGAGTTGGAAGAGACCACGAGGGTCATCTAGTCCAGCCCCTGCAATGCAGGAATATTTTTGCTGAAACCCATAACCCTGAGATTAAGAGTCTCATGCTCCATCAACTGAGCTATCCAGGAATCAGTGTGGCCACATGCTTGCTACTTACAAGGAGGCTCCATTTCAACATAAACAGTCCTTCCATGATCCCAGTAGCGGTTCTTGAGGTGTTCAGGTGCAAATGGCTGGGACATGTATGAATCAACTGTATGTTTCAAAGCTGTAATATGTGAATCAGCCCTGAACCCAAGATAGCTTCTCGACAGAAGATGTGGAGCAATTAGGAAATTGTGTGAATGGTGAAAATATAATTTATATCAGGGGTCAGCAAACTTTTTCAGCAGGGGGCCTGTCCACTGTCCCTCAGACCTTGTGGGGGGCCGGACTATGTTTTTTTGGGGAAAAATATGAACGAATTCCAATGCCCCACAAATAACCCAGAGATGCATTTTAAATAAAAGCACACATTCTATTCATGTAAAAACACCAGGCAGGCCCCACAAATAACCCAGGGATGCATTTTAAATAAAAGCACACGTTCTGTTCATGTAAAAACACCAGGCAGGCCCCACAAATAACCCAGAGATGCATTTTAAACAAAAGGACACATTCTACTCATGTAAAAACATGCTGATTCCTGGGCCAGATTTAGAAGGCGATTGGGCTGTATCCGGTCCCCGGGCCTTAGTTTGCCTACCCATGATTTAGATGCAGGTCAGTATGGGTTAAGAGGTTTGGGAGAAAGGCAGTCATGTATCTAAACTGAGCTGGTGAGAGGCAATGCAGTTGGGAACCAGGATAGGATCCACTGTTACCTTGTTACAAGTGGCACCAATTCACAGTAGTGGTGGAAGAAATACTATTACATGTAAAATTATGTATTTAATTTTTTTATCCTGTGGTGGCCACAAGACTCCAGAAAGCAGCTGTGGGAAACTTAGTGGTCCTCCAGATGCTTCTGAACTACAACTCCCAAGAGTCGCTGGGGCGAAAAGGAGTTGGGTTTCAACATTGAGTGTGAGCCACATGTTTCCCAAACCCTTCCATAGAGCAGAAATCAGAACATATGTAATAGTTTCAGAAGGCTAATCCCCCCAAACACATCAGGACAAGCTAACTTGAAGACTCTTCTTGAATTCTGAAATGTAGATCAAAGTATATACCATTTCTTTCTACACTGTAACTCATTTCACAGTTCTCCATTGCTTTCAAAATTCAGCTGATTTCACATATTCAACATTAAGGGAATCTGACGCAACATTTCTAAAAAGCCAGGACATTGCAGTGTATTTTTAATAGCCTTATTTGGGTCTTAAAATGGAAAGTTGTGTGTCATCACCATGATTTCAGTACTGGTTTTTTCACACGCAAAATCATGAGTTTCTAAAAACTTCAGTTTTAAGATATGCAAAGCTGGCAAATGTCAGTACAAACGATGCATTCAGCTCCAGTATTGAATCCAATATAATAATGTTACATTCTCTCCGCTATGTATCATTGCCCTTTGTCAGGGAAAGGTTTTCTCGCCCCCTCCCTCAAATCTAAATGGCATTTGATTGTAGACGCCTAGTTAAGTGGTGGTGCAGGAAAAGGACAGGCAAATCTGGTCTCTATATAATTAGACCCAACATGCTCTCTCCTGAATTCTTAATCTGCTGTATTCACTTGGCTGCTATTTGCATCACTGCAGAAAAGCCCCTCCTCATGCTAATTTGCGAAATGGGCTCTTCTATTTAGAGCTGTCAATACAATGTCCATTCATTATCCAGTATCTTTCTATGCCCAAAGGACCTTTCCTGTACTCCGTAAGCAATGCGGTATTCTTCTTCTCGTTCTTACCATTTCTCATTTGGTTAGCACAGTCATTTTAACCTGGGGATTTAGTGGCGAGATCCTTTAAACATCCAGGCATTTAGTGAAGTGTCATCAGTACATTCTCTCCCCCATTTCAGACCAGTTTAGGAACCCTAGAAAAACGCAATATCCATAAATAATAAATATTGGTTCACCATGGTGATTATGGTCCAAATTCCTAGCACAAATGGATGGTTCCTTTACATATGCGGAAGGCTTCACAGAGACCCCTTGTACTGTCCACTATGTTGGCCACAGAAGAAGGACTCCCACATCGCAGGGTGTTTTTTTTGTTTTTTTTTTGCCAATTTCCCCAGCACCATTTCCTCTAAAGCAGGCACGTCCAACAGGACCTGAACCCCCCCAAACAGGGGTTTCCTTCTTAAACTTTGACCTAATCCCCCAAAAAGAGGGTAGATCACTGCCAGTTTTTAACTCTGTGAGTAGATCGCAGTCTCTTGTGAGTTGGCCATCCCTGCTCTAAAGGGCTTACACACAATGGAGAAAGGGTTCTGGGCAGTGGTGGCTGGTGCCCTTTGGGACTGGCAGGGTGGAAGGTGGACTGGCCAAGAGTAGACAGAGATAGAGCCAATGATAGGCAGGGCCAACTAATTCTAGTTTTGTCTTCATCCTTCTCCCTGCAGAGTTCTGCAAAGGCAACACTGAGATGGAGAAGGAGGAAGCTTACAGCCAGTGTCAACCCTTGGGCTGAATGTCAGGAGGAAGGCAGGCAAGTGGGAGCTGGTTGAAGACAGAATTATGTCGGTGAGGCAGTAGTTCTGCGTGGCAAACTGAGTTGCATAAATTGTGACCAAAGGATCTCTCTCTCTCTCTAAAAAAAGTGTATTTAGGCACTTTGAAGTGTGCTCCAGTAAGTGTGGATAGGCTCTGAACTGAGATGTCCTTTCATAGCACATTCAGGGGAGAATAGAGATGAACAAATTTGCGACATAGTAAGGTTTTGTACCATGTGGTTGGTCAGATGTCTATGTTAATGCAAAGGTGATTGCCTTGTTCAGTGGTAAAGTTTTTCTATATTTATCACTGGATAAGTCAGTTATATGTAAGGAACTTCTGGCAGGTGACATTGACTATGCAAGATATTTCCTTCAGTAACTGAGCATCACAAGAGTTAGATATTACTCTTTTATTTTATTTTTTGAAAAGGAATGACTTGTCTTCTCTGTATTTTGAAAGATATAAATATTTGAAGCCAGAGTGATGTATTTTTAAAAATATCTACATGTTCCAGTATACTTGAGGTGCATTTTAAAAAATAATAATAGTGAGATACCATAGCATTGCCTCTGAATACCCCAGTGGATCTTGTCTGCTGGATTTTAATTGCCAGTACAGATGGTACATTTTTGCAAAGCTGAAGGAAACTTGGCTGGACACCCAGAGAGAAAAACCAAAAAACCAAAACTCTCAAGTTAAACATAGTCTTGTTCCTGTTTCTTGATATACCATCTATTAATTGCAGAGATATTCTAGAGCAGTGTTTCCCAACCTTGGGTCTCCAGCTATTTCTGGACTACAACTCCCATCATCCCTAGCTAACAAGATCAGTGGTCAGGGGTGATGGGGATTGTAGTCCGAAAACAGCTGAAGACCCAAGGTTGGGAAACACTGTTCTAGAGGTTCAGTCATGTAAGTGACAACACACCAGCTCAGGGATGTGTTTATACCTTTGATAATTACCATATTTTTCAGTGTATAAGACTATATTTTTTCCTAATTTTTTATGTTTAAAATAAGGGGTCGTCTTATACATGGATAGTGCACAGTGCATTTTATTAATTTTGAGTCCCAAAAAATAGGGGGCGTCTTATACACGGGGGCGTGTTATACACAGAAAAATATGGTAATTTGTTTCAGTTCCATGCTATAGGTGTTTTATTATATGCCTGTTGCGTCAAAGACATTTTTGTGCTGATCATGGGCTCTTGTTAGAATCTTGAATGCCTTCTTTTTCTATTCTTTTTTTTTTTGAGTCAAAGTTTGTTGTCTTCAAGGTTTTAGAGAAACCTTTTGGAAAATTATATACACACAAAAGTATTAAGACGCAAATACAAAGTAGTAGTACTTTTAAACCTTTGAAATACGGTACATATGCTAAAAATGGTTTTTAAAAAACAAGAAGAATTGAAGTGCTCAGAATGAGAATTTTGCATAAATTAGCAGTGAAGGATCTGGAAGGACAGATTCTGAAGCTGAGGCTCCAATACTTTGGCTACCTCATGAGAAGAGAAGACTCCCTGGAAAAGACCCTGATGCTGGGAAAGATGGAGGGCACAAGAAGGGGATGACAGAGGACGAGATGGTTGGATAGTGTTCTCGAAGCTACAAACATGAGTTTGACCAAACTGCAGGAGGCAGTGGAAGACAGGAGTGCCTGGCGTGCTCTGGTCCATGGGGTCACGAAGAGTCAGACATGACTAAACGACTAAACCACAACAAGCAGTGAATTGTGTCCTCTATAGTTTGGTGTGTTGGTGTGTGCCACATTACTGTATTGGGAATAATAGGCAAATCATGTTAACTTGTATTGGTGCCAGGAGACAAGGGTGAGGTTTCTTCTGCAAGTGGTTGGACTAATCGAAGATGTCCCTAGTTCCTGGTAGGACCTTGGCCCGCAATGTCCAAATGGGTAGGGTATAAATAACAAATTATGTGGTTTGAAAAGAAAATGAAGAAAACCTCAGAAGCCATTGTAAAGAGGGAGAAAACATTTGTGGACCCTGCATTCTATCCGGACAATGATGCGCTTCTGAGCACAATTCAGAGTGTTGGTGCTGACCTTTAAAGCCCTAAATGGCCTCGGCCCAGTATATCTGAAGGAGTATCTCCACTCTCATCGTTCTGTGCAGACACTGAGGTCCTCCTCCGAGGGTTCTTCTGCTGGTTCCCTCACTGCGAGAAGCGAGCTTACAGGGAAGGAAGAGGGCCTTCTTGCTAGTGGCGCCCTCCCTGTGGAATACCCTCCCTTCAGGTGTCAAGGAAATATACAACTATCTGACTTTTAGAAGATATCTGAAGGCAGCCCTGTTTAGGGAAGTTTTTAATGTTTGATGTTTTAGTATGTTCTGATATATGCGGGATATAAATAAAATAATAATAATAATATTTTATTATAATATTATAATAAAAATAAAAATAATTATCATTACCATTATTGGATTTATTAAAATAAAGAAACTCCTGGTATTGGAGGTGTCAATATATCTGTAGTTCCTTATCAATTGACCTGATGCTGGAATTGGTATCCATAAAATCCCCACACCTAAAGTTGGAATGCTTACTCAAGGGTTGAAGAGTGTCCTGTTAGCACATCCATTGTGGAAAATTGATATTTTTTCCAGCATTCAAAAATACCCCATTGCCTGATGTGTTTAGGGCTCTGCTTACACTGCCCCCCAAAGAGGAAATGGATCAGCTGTCCAAGAAAGACAGGCTAGTGCACAAATTTGCATAAAGCTTGCCTAAAACTAATTTATAGGTGTAGATGGAAATTTAGAAATAATTATAATAAATTAAACAGAAATACAATACCTCTCACCATACTGGAACCAGAGGACATGTGCGTTTGCTCAATCTGCAGTCCAGCTCCTAGTCATTGGCAGGCAAATTCAAGACCTTTGGTTTCCTGTCTTACGTATAACTGGACAGCCCTTCAGAGGGCAACTCCTTCAAACAGAGGACCCGCAGGCACCATAAGTGTGACTTTAAACATCCAGGCCATGTCAATATTGTGAGCCTAACTTGGACGCGTATATGATTTGGCTAGAATCATGGGAACCTCTGGATTGATGAGTCTGACATCATGGCGATGGCAAGTTTCAAGGAAATTTTTATCCCCTTCAGCTAGGCTACTCCCCCCTCAACTTCTTCCACACTGTAGAAATTATATATATTAAATATACTATCACCAGCGCTCAGTGCCCCCTCCCTCCCAATTTAATTGTCTCAGAAAAAAAGCTTGAAAGCATAGCACATGGAAGCTTTCATTTGGAAGTGGAGAAAAGTTTGTTCTTGGCACTTTCGAAAGGGTTGTTGTGACCTTCCTTGTCTTTAATCTTCCTACTGATTTTACTGGATTCCAAGAGGCTTTCAGTGAAATGCGTTTTGGCCTCTGAAGTATCCTCTCCTCCCCCCACCCTCGCCCCCCAGTGTCAGGCTGTATGGAATGTGAAATGATCCAAGCCTACAGAGGAGAAGGGAAGGCCTTGCACCTCAGATCTGCTGCTGTCCTGGAGGCAGCGCATCAATTTACCAGACAGAAGGTTCATTTTCATGGTGGAGGGTCCACGATGCCCCGAAGCTGGCTGTGAAAAGAGCAGCCATGGTAACAATCCATTTTCTCAACTTCATTCAAGCGGAAGAGCCCAGGAGTCTTGACATTCTGCCCCCCAGCAATCTAAGGTCTCCTCTTTGCCCTTCTCTTGTTCCACAGCTACTAGGCTAGCTTTTAACAAAGCTCAGGGTTACTTAATGAATGGGTCAAAGAAAGAACATCCCTTTCCATATCCCCCACCACAGATTCCCCCAGAGGACAATGAGGCATCATTGATGAGAGCTATTGAAACATCCTCTGCCTCACTGCAATCTGCAGGCCACCTGAATGAAATATAGACAGATTTCAGGTTTGCCCAATACTTAGCTTGCGGTCGACATTTTAAAATAGTTGGGGGGAAAAACCCGTTGAATCAAATGGCAGTGCTACTGGGTCAACCTTGAAAGCAAGTGAGTATTTGGGGTGAGAATTGTCACCTTACATTGCATTCCTGCACTCTGAAAGACTTTTACATCGCCTCTGGGGTGCTCAGAACTAGTGTGAAATCTTTTGCTTTTAATTACTTTGGGCTGTATCCAGTTGGTGATCTGCCTCTGTTAGAAAGCTCTTTGATCCAGTGGAGACTTCTGTCAGTGGAACTGGGATCGTGGGCATTTTTGGCAATTATGTCTTCCCCTGCAGCCACCTTGAGCCACACTACCCACCACTGTTCCAAAGAATATTTCAATATTTCAATATTTGTGTGTGTGTGTGTGTAATGGATCTGTGGTTTGGTGGGGGGGGGCACTGTGCTATAGTACTTTCAATCCTCTCTGTAGAAACAACGCTAGAAAGAAGCATTGAGTGCCTGCTGCTTGGTCCCCTAGCAGTTATGTTTTGGGGTCCCACAAAGTTCTGTTCTGTCTCAAATGAGATGTAGCATCTATATGAAAATGTTGGGGAATGTCTTCTAGTTTTTGAGGCCAGAGTCATCAACATGTGGGTGACACTCTGCTCTGTCTCTCAATTCCTTTTTTATTTATTTAATTTACTTCTATATTATTTGAATGATGCTATAATAATCCATTTGTCCAAAACTGTTATTTCACTATTGCCCAAAACTTCACTATATTCTTTTCGATAAAAAAAATATGTAGCTTTACATCCACTTTGTATAGCATTCTTCAAAATGGAATATGCTGGAGCCAGTTCTGCGTCATGATCAAGTCCAGTGTTGTGATGCTCCATCTCCTCATCCCTGAATTTCTTTATTACCTCTAATAATTCTCTGTATTTTTCTGGATCCTCTTCCACAAGTGTCCTGATATGGTGGTTATAATGGTGAGATATGCTCTCGTCTACAGCCACAGTGCAAGCCATTGCACCTTCTTTTCCAAGGCCTGCCAGGTGGGTGCGGGAAGGTGGGTGCGGGCTGCCCCAGGTGTCACCACTGAGGTGGGTGACAAAATGCCGGGTGGCACTCACCGCGGGGCCTGCAGTGTGCCTGAGCCACGCATCTCTCTTGGGAGAGACATGGTGGCTTGGGCGCGCGCAGGCTCTGCACTGTCCAAATGATCTGCCCGTTGCCTCCCCCCAGCTGTAGGGCGACTGAGTGGGAGGAGGCAGGCAGACTCCGGAGGCCCCTATGGGTGGTTCACCCCACCCTCGCCCTGCCCCTATGGGCTGCTTGCCCCGCCCCTGGGCGCGCCACTCCAGGCGCCCAAGCGGCTTCCTCCGCCGCTGGTCCCAGCACCGAACATAAATCCCGTAATGTTCCAGAAAGGCAACAAAATGGTTGGCCGGACTCTGCACAAGATCATTAACTCACTGAACTTTTTCAAATGGTCCTTTTCCTGATCCCACATTTTCCATATAACTGGTCCTGCGGAAGTTCTCCCTAGCATGGCCATTTGTCCTGCATAAATACGGTTCGCCCCATATTCCCCAGCACAATCTTCTCTGAGTATACGGTCAATGACTGGCTTATTGATGTTTTCATGGGTCATTCCAGTACTACAGCATCTGTAAGGTGAATGCAAGGATGGCAAAGGCCATCTTCTTTTCCACCTTCCCTGCAAAGGGACCGCCAGCACTCCTGTCTCTCAAATCCATCTGAATCAGGAGCAGCTGCTGAGGTGCTAGACCCAAAAAACTAAAGCTGAGTTCTGACAAGATGGAGCTGCTGATGGCAGACAATGCCGAAGCACAGGAATCGGGTAGGCAACATTTTCTGGATGGGAGTTGCGCTCCCCCTGAAAATGAAAGTTCCTAGTATAGGGGTGTTCCTTGACTATACACACATTTGAGACTCAAATAGCCTTGCTGGTGAGGTGCTGCAGTTTT